CAGGTCACACCAGTCAATCTTAAAGGAAATCAACCCTGATTGCTCATTGGAAGGACTGATAATGAAGCTCAAGCTCAGATACTTTTGTCACCTAATGCGAAGAGAGATCTCTTTGGAGAAGACCGTGATGCTGGGAAAGATTGAAGGCAAAAGGAGAAGAGGACGGCAGAGGATGAGATGGTTAGATAGCATCCCTGAAGCAATGAGCATGAAACTGAGCAAACTCAGGGAGGCAGTGAAGGACAGGAAGGCCTGGCGCAATATGGTTCATGGGGTCACGAAGAGTCGGACACGACTTAACGACTGAACAACAACAACAGCAACAATTCCAACTTGAATATTAGTATACAACCCACTTGTAGAAGTTCCATCACAGCCTTGGTGCTGCAGTTGACATGTCCAACCCATTACTTACAATGGTGTTTAAATATCATAGATCAAACCAGCCATTAACTGGTGGTCTTCTTTCAAAATGCCCCCCAAAACTCTTGTATCTTTATGCTGAGAAATTCACCGGCATTTCCATCAGTAGACACGCGAACCACCTGGTTGAACTGAACTTTCTTGCCAATAGCTAGGGTTGTGTGAATTGTCATAAAGAAAAAATGAGCTTTCTTTATATCATGTATGATCCCATCCCCAACAGAGTTAGAAATAAAGCTAGTTAGTTCATTCTGTTTGTCAGGCCTATCCTCACTCAATAACCTGTCCAGCACAGCTTATATCTGGCAACAAGTGTGATAATTAGGAAAAAAAAAGATCCATGGGATCAACCTCAGTACATACCACGGCCTCTGTGATCTGTAAGAGTCATGTTAGAGACAGGGTCACTGTCACGTTGAGAATTCAATCAAATATTTGTACAAGCCTTTTCAGATTCTTTCCCAATACATTCTGTAGCTGGCCCTGTTATCTGAAGCTTCATGACTCACAATGTTGCTTTTTAAGCAAGTCACTCATACAATCCTTGATTGAAAAAAGCCTGCATGCCCAGTAAAGTTCTTGTTGACTTGTACACCAGCTTTGCTTGTGAAAATCAACAAAATATGTGACATTAAGAGTTCACTAAAATGAGAGTTAAGAGTTCACTGAAAAGTTCACTGAAATGAGAGGCCCTGATGGCATTAGACCTGCTGATAGTTGGTATCCTGGTCCATTCCATGCTCAAGGCACACACTTTGTTTTGGTCAATTCTCTGTGACTCAAGGGATTTCTTTGGTCTGTAGGAACATCTTGAGTACCTGCTGAGCATTGTACTTCATTTTGTTTCTGATCAAATACAATTTTGATCATTCTATTAATTTTTATTCCAATTAAAGGAGATTGTAGCACGATTAGTATAGCCTAGACTTGATCAAACTGTATTCAACTAAGCAAGAGTACAGCTGGTATATACAGAAACTGTCTGAAATGCCATTAAAAAATGCTGCTTAAACATTTTTAGCCTACATATTCATTATTAAAAACAAAATGAGTTTGATGCACACTTTGCTGTTCAGAACTCATAATTTATGATTATGGGATTTTAGCATTTGTAGCCTTAATTTGGCTACATTCTCTTAAAGAACAATGTAAATGGTCTAGTTGATGTCAAAGAAGTGCATAGAAATGTGTTGTTGCTTATTTCTCTAGATACTTCTTTAGGTTTTTGAAAAACCTTCTACCCTTCCTGCACCTAAATATTGCTGAGAAATAAAAATGATACTCAGCTCAAATTTTGCCAATCAATAAAAACTGATGGGCTTTTCCAGGAAACATTATCTGAGCTACTCTGTATTTGAGCAAATAATGTCTGAAAATGTTCTTAGAGACTTGGAAAAAAATATTTAAATATTAAAATGTTGTTGTTATTTCCTTTTACAGGAATCAGTCATTGAAAATGGTACAACTGCTTATAAGAGCTGGATTGTTCCTGGGAGTCCAGTCTACAGACAGTTTTGGTTCTTTGATGTACAGAACCCGGGCGATGTGATGGCGAATGGTTCTGCTCCAATACTTCTGCAGAAAGGCCCATATACTTACAAGTAGGTGAAGACCTGAGAACGATCATGTCTTGGGGACTTGGAAGAGGGATTGGAGAGCAAACAGATACTCCATTGAGTCGGGACAGGAGATTGAGTCCAACCCCCTATGCAAGGCAAGAATCCAGAATAGAATATCCTTGATAGAGCGGGGTCCATAATTGCTTGAACACATTCAGTGAAGGAGCTGACCACCTCTCTAGGTAATTGGTTCAGCTGTAGAACTGCTTGTGAAGATTTTCTAAATGTTCAGCCAGAATCTGCCTTTTGTAACTGAAGTCCCATTTTTTTATGATAGAGAACAAATAGCAGCTCACTTCAATTCTGTATATTCAGGGACACCTAATGGTGGGATTCTGACAGCTCATGTTTCACAGAATTGATTTTTATGTATCAATTATGGATGACTGAAATGAATCATGGCTTCAGTTTACTGATCTATGTATGTCAGTAAATTTTGTATGTTTTTGTTTCTCTTTTTTCAGCTTTTTTTCTTTAATGATTGTGTATTTGTCTTTTTCTTCATTTTTTTGTATTTAGTTAATAAAAATAATTTTAAAACAGTGCTTAACATATTTTACTCCTCCTCCTCCTCCTCCTCCTC